GCTGTGTCAACCTGAATTTCTCCTGAGGGGGATAAATAAAGGAATATCTTATTTTATGCTGATTTATATGTTGGGCAATTAGTGCAATTAGCATAATTAGCATTATATTTCAGCAACTGCTTGGCTGATTTGTACAATATTGATGTGGTTTTGGGGATTATTAAGGATCCATTTTGAAATGTTCAAAAATACAATATTTTCATTTAAAACGGAAGTTATTTTTAGGTAATTCATATGCCTAATAAATTGGACTCTCTATGCAAGTAAGTTGACCAAAAAATAGTAAGTAAATCAAGTTAAAAAACACAAACTTAACCCACAGTAATTAATGCATCAACAGTTTATGTTAACAGTTACTCTATGATTATTCTGTTGTATTGACCCCTCTCACCAGCTTAAATCCTAAGAGCAAGATGGACCAAACAAGTGCACCCAGTCACTATGGCATTTCAGGCAGTAATCTACTATGATGAGATCCTAATGTAAAAAACTTGACCTATTGAAGGTTATCCTGTTATGTAGTAAATTCCCAAAGTATAGGTAAAGTAAAGGCAGAGCCAAAAAAATTTGATCCCAAAAGCAAATGACCCAGAGAAACTGTAGGCAATTCTAATAGGCTCAGCCCTCTCAAGCATGTTCGGAGCATTTGAAAGAGGTTTTAATAAATCTCCTGGAGGTTCAGAGAAACCGATGATACTAGTGGGCTGGGATGGTACGGGAAAGTAAAACTTATTTTATAAGGAGTACGGTCTAGACCTGCTCAATTTGAAAAGTGTAACTTTTGTTATGAATTGGTGCTATACAAATAAAACTGAATTGGATTGAACTGAATTGAAAGGAATCCACTGTGAGTAGTAGTAAAAGTGGAAATCCTGAGGACATGCGTATGGCCATTCAAGGGTGATTTTGTTGCAGACCACAAAATGGCAGGCAGTGCATTATTAGGCAACTAGCTAGATTAACTAATTTGGGGGAGTTTATTGTCATCTGTTGATTGGAGCGCTGTCCCAAGCTACTTTTAGATGCATTGTGATTTGCAAAGTAGAAACAGCCTATTACTCCAATGGCCACAAATTGAGCCGACCTCACAAGGGCAACTACCAATACACTGGGCACAGCCTCAGTTAAGGATTAATTACGGGAAATGAAAGGCCCAATGGTTGTAGCACAAGGACACTATTGACCGGCCGGTTGTAGTCCCCATGCCCACCACAATTGGCATACACTTATAGAGTTGCAACCACCACACAGAGGCAGCTGCCATCCTGTCGGCAGCAGCCTCCTTGGAGGACAATGGACACAATAAGGGGACAAGATGCCCAACTGACACTAAACACACACATTTTTTCTCCTCATTCTGGAGCCTTGGAAAGTTCATCATCAAGTTTTTTCAGAATACTGTCATTTCTCTTGCCATTTTCCCCACTAATTTGATTAATAGAATACATCTCTTGATGCTTCTGAACACATCATCAGTGATGTAACCAGGGGTCACTGCCTGTTTCGGGTCTTTCAATATCAAAAACACTTGCCCAGGCGACCCAGGCATCGTTGATCAGACCACAACTTGTGTTCACGTGGCATTTGCTCCCCCCCATGAACCTCCTTTCATAATCCAGAGACATCCCTAGGCTTTTTCCGTCCCTCTATGATGTTATTGAAAGCTCTTATCCTCTCCTTTCTTGTCATGCCCAGTTCTATACAGACTTTGTGGATTGATTGCCCTTCAAAACCTCTGCAGCCAACCTCCACGGGCATACACCTAGCCTTTAGCCCTGCTTCCAACAGTCTACAGCACAGTCAGCTTCATAATAACCATGTTCTTTGTTGCCTCTGAGACCAGGATGATGGCCTCAAGGTAGTTGTGGTGATGTGGTGTAAACTTAAACTGTTTCTCAAGGTCTGCAGAAGTCTGCCATTGGCCTTGGCAGCTGTACTCCAGGCTTTACTAATTGTCTGGGTGGTGGGGCGTGCTGATTCCCATGCTGATGGTTTCTGCACTAGGTTTAAGAACTTGGTTCTGACGCCAGGCGTACTGGTCCTGCCCAAGAGCCCTTCGGCAGCAGCTCAGGATGGCATTCAATAGGTCAGCCAACTTTACTGCATTGAGATCCACCTTACTAGATGTTTAGTCCATCAACAGACTGCTCTAGGGATCTAAGCTGGTGAGGGTGGTCACTACAATGGAATAATCATAGAGTAACTGTTGGTAAGTTTGTCTCCTTTTACTTTTTGATCAACTTACTTGTATAGAGACAATAAACCATATACAAAAAGCTGTGCTTCTTCTGTTCTGTTCTGTCAATGTGGTCAGCTTGCAGCAGTAACTACAGAGGCAATGACACAATGTTGGGCAGCAAAAAAACTCAAGCATAACTGAAGAAATATCTTAATATTATATGAAGACTGAACAGTTTCATGGCATTGAGCTCTCTTTATATAGTATAAAATATATAGTATATATAGTATAGTTTATTAAGTATATAAATTATGTAAAAACTGACGAAGAATCAACCAAAATTGGGGCCACTGGGAGTTTAAATATGTCTACTTCCGGTTTAAACGGCCATTTTGTATTTTGGAAAAGTATTCAGCATCCCCAATAACCCCCCAAACAACTCCAACCACTGTTAAGTTAAGATAAGATATTCCTTTAATAGTCCCACAATGGGGAATTCCAATGCTGATAATGCTAATTCCCCTACATATGCAAGTAGCGTCCGGCAGTTTCTATACGCTAGGCACCCACACTTTACATTTCTATCATAAAACTTTGGGATACTCAACATTTCCGGATTCACAGTGGGGCTATTTTGGCGTTTCAGTCTTATATAGATATGTACCAGCATGATCCTTTGAGAGTTGGTGAGGACATGATAAAGGTACATCCAGCAGATGGCGGTAATGCAGCTGTATACACTTAAATCAAAGCAGAAGAAGATCACGATATAGAGGAACTCGGCTAACCCTACATCATGGTATTGATCACCATGTCGGCGTAGAAGGAAAACAAAAGTCAGAACAATCGTTCTGTGCTGAAACGGAGTCTTTAAAATGGCCGGCGAGGAGGAGAGGGCGGTGGTCCGTGTCAAAGTCAAGGTAGGATGATTGAGGTTAGTGTAACAATAGTCTGTCAATGTCTGCTAGTTAGCTAGCGTTATCCTGTTTATTGAATTACCTGCTTAATGTTTCCTAGCTGTCTGTCAAATATACATTGTAGTGCTACACGTCGACAAAATAAAACAGCGTGTTTATAGAGTCTCTACCGTGGCTATCCGCCTATTGATCCATTTTGTTTATCGTCAGCTTTGTGTGTTGTCGCTGGTTGCGGTCAATGACAGCTGGAGGTGCTGCCTATTGTCACGTTTTTCGGACCGACTCTAACAGCGAGTTCGAGCTGGCACTGTCTAACAGTCAACTATCAAACCGTTATCGATATCCAGCCTTACGCTCCACTTTACTCGAAGCAGTGAAGCCTCACAGACCTGACGTCACCTGCCGGATCGTGCGTGCGCGTGTTCACGGACGAGCACTCCGTGACGTCACATATTAACTGAAGTTGGCCTTTACTCTAGGAAACTCATATGCCTATATTATTGGATGAATTTACTAGACTATATGTTGCAAAATTCTAATAAGAAATGGGTCAAATCAGATGAGAATATAATTAAAAAAAACCCATAAAGCAAGCTCCACAGATTTCTTTCCAAATAGCTCTGTGTATTGTGTAGGTTACACACTGAATAAACACAACTTCCGTTCAGGTGATGGATTATATTATAATACTGCAAATACAACAGAATGAAAGGATGGATATCTATGTATCATTTTACAAGTGAACAATTATAAGCAAACAAGTTCAAGGTCCAGAGTGTAACAATTAAGAGGATTTCTTAGAATATAATATTCTTATGTATTTGTTTGTTTTTGTTACCTTGGCTTGGAATGAGCCAGATAATGTAGAGAGAGATGTGCTGCAAGCTACACATGAACTAAATGTTACTGTTATTTACTGACATCAAACTTTGAGAGGACACAAGTTTCCCTGATTCCTCTTCCCACAATTGTCTCTTGTTTTTTTTCTTCTGTTTTTGTGACCAGAACGATAGTTCCACCATATCCTACCAATGAGTCTCTGACTGACCCTGTGACAAGTTCTGATGCGTTGCACTGCACTGTCACTGACACAGCCTCACACTGGCTAAGGAGTGCAAGTTTGGCCCTCAGCTGCCAGGGCAGCTGATTTGCCATAATAAACAACTCAGTTAATAACCACCATGGTTATTATAATGCTTAATAGCCTATAGAGAGTTGGATTTACTATTATTTTATTGTATTCTTTTATGTTCGGGCTGGGAGCATGGGAGTTTCAGTCTGCAACTACACTACACACTAAATTCTACATGCTGGAACTTTTTTTTTTTAAGCAAAAACATAATTAGCAATATTTGTTTTACACATAGCATATGATGAGATAGTTATTTTAAATGTAGTTTTGTATACATTTTCCATACCCTAAAATATAGTGATACTGCAAAATATATTTTTAATATCACAATAATATTTCAGCTACACCTACCAGCTATTATAAACAGTTTATAAGCATGTATCATGTAGTACGTTTAGATAAGTACAATCCCAGTATGCAACCTAAAATGACTCACAATGGAAATGGAAAAACATTCAAAAATTTGGACAATGGGTCAATAGCTTTGACCACAAAATATAAATTTTGCTAACATTTTGTGATATTTCCAAAATTATTTAATGACTTGCTTAACTTATTTTTCTTACTTTAATTTTCAATCGCTGTTCTGCACTTTTGGCACAAAGCAGAGCAGTACATCCGTCCTTGTGTACTAACCGCTAAAGTAGAATATATAAACAACAGTGTTATTACACAGTACTGTATTGGTATATTGTTTTTATATTATACCATAGTATGGGATTAAGATTAATTCCACGTTTTTCCCACAGCATGTATTTATTTTTTTATTTTTTTAACATTTGTCTGATTATAGAGATGGTGATGTAATGCTTTTCAGAAATGTGATGGGGTTCTTCCTGTGGAGTTTCGCTCCTTTGCTGTGGATCCTCAGATAACATCACTGGAGGTCCTGCAGCACATACTTATCAGAGCCTTTGATTTGAATGGGTAAGAGTGATCACCCCGTTAAAACTATTATACAAAGAAAGGCTGTCAGAGTTGGTCCTAACAAGAGTTACATTATGTATGCCAGCATTTTGTTTTTGTTCGTCTTTCAAACTAGAAAGCGGAATTTTGGGATCAGTTACCTGTCTCGAGATCGGAGTGGTGCTGAAATGTTTCTGTCTCTGGTGTCTGACTGGGATTTGGATGTTGCATTTGTCAGTGCAGCCAAACCGTATCTACAGCTCAAGATGGACATAAAACCTTCAGAAGACAGTAAGAGGACTTTATATGTTACAGAGAATATAAAGTGTAGAATTGTGCCAAATGTGGCATCTACAGAAAATTGACATTTTGTGAAATGGACCTAAACTTAACGTACAATGTGTAGTTTCTGTTTTATTAAACAAATTTGGGGACATTTCCTTTAGTAGGGAGTATAAAAAATAAATTAGATGTTTGTTTCATCTAGTACATTTTGTTCAACTGCAGGTCCTGTTATGGAGGACTGGGACATCATAAGCCCAAAAGACGTGATTGGCACTGAACAACTTCTTGCAGACAGGACCAGGTCTTTGGCATCTGCAGCTCTTCCCTTTACCCAGTCGCTATTGTCACAGGTTCCTCCACCTTCTATAATCTTTCTCACGCATTCACTTTTACTTTTTACTGTCTATGCGTCAGGGTCTTTGCTTATGCACTTGTTTCACTTGTGTTCAGGTGGGCCGAACTCTGTCCAAAGTCCAGCAGGCCTTCAGCTGGTCTTATGGGGAGGAGATCAAGCCTTTTAAGCCCCCTCTGACTGATGCTGAATTTCACAGTTACCTCAATGGACAAGGCCAGTTGACACGACCTGAAGAACTCAGACTACGTATCTACCATGGTGGTGTGGAGCCCTCACTGCGCAAGGTGTAGCATCTGTGTTCTATTCGCATTACATTCCAATCCCATGCTCTGCAGACTCCCAAATATACAGGGTTGGGTATCAGTTACATTTTATTATTATTATTAGGGCCCGAACACTGAACGTGGGAAGGCCCTATTGTATCTGTAGGAATTCTTATTATTATTTTAGTAACAAATGAATCGCATTTTTGGAGGCTTTCCCATGCTCGAAAACTCATGAAACGTGGCGCACATGTCAGTCGTGGCGAAAAATTCAGTATTTTCTAGGGGTCCACTATTAGCATGGCAAAATGCCTCCTCAGGGTCCCATAAACTGTACCACCCGGGGCCCATTCACTGATATGGGCATAAAATAGCGCACGCGTAGATATTATTCAGGGGCCTACATCAGCTGCAGCCATATCCCAAACCTGGCTGGGTGGCTCAGAATGCAGAGCGGGTCGATCACCCAATCGGCGAAGGTTGGGTGCGGTTCGATCCCCGGCTCCTCCTTGCCCATGTGTCGAGAAGTGATTGCTTGGCTGAGAGTACTGAACCCCAAATTGCTCCCGATGCCACAGCATTTGGGGTGTGTGAATGCTGTATGGAAAAAGTGGTGAATGTGGACGTTAGTGTAACAAGCGCTTTGAGTGGTCGGAAGACAGAAAGGCGGCTACACAAGTACAGGTCCATTTAACCATTTACGAATTTCCAAACCCAACAGAAGTCCGGCCATTTTGGATGAGCGGTAATTTCTGCCAATGTTGTATTTAACTCGGTCCCTAGGGAATTGATCAGCTCGACTGTCACATTTGGACAGCAGCCATCTAGAAGACATTACAATAAAAGTTGATGCTATTTGTGGACTTTTTCCCGGGGTGGCAGAGGGCCGGTGACCATGGCCAGGTGCCAGAGTTTTGATGTTTGGCGATGAGAACAAGAAGTTGCATAAATTCAGTGTACATGGTCCAACCTTTAGTGAAACTTCACATGATTGATAAGAGTCCGGCACCTTCAACACGACTATTTGATGGGAACAGTACAGTATATCAACGCCACTGCAGTTTGGGAAAGAAAGTGTCACGATTTGTAGCGTGTTCATGTTTTACTCCTGCAGGCAATGGATCGAGATTTGAATGCAGCTACTCCTAGGAAATTTATCGGCACAGACTTCAACAACATTGGTGCGGTTGAGTAACAGTCAAGAAAGTAATTTGCTGGCTTAAAAGTTGTGCTATTTTTGTGTTGTTTTTGTGGAAGGGGCGTTTCAGGTGTCGGAGGAGTCGGGCCAGTTTGTGAATTTTGCGGCCAGTTTCGGCCTTTTCATTCATTTACTTTTCACAAAGATCCCTTCTAGGAATTTATCGGAAAAGAAGGTTCAAAAATTGGGTCTTGTATCAGTTCAAAGTTCATGAAAAGTTGTTTGCTGATTTGGTGACTGTACATTCAAATGGCGGATGCCCGATGGCGTTCCATAAGAACTTATTTATCTGACAGTCCCACCGCTGGAACACGCTCATAAACTTCAGTGTAGGTGGGGTCAATCTGCAATGAAACTTCGTCTGTGTGGGTAATATTCATGATATGGTGATGCGCCACCTACTGTGCAAGCAGGGAAGAGGGGAGCTCTGGCATGGCGGGATTAGATTTAGCGTTTGAAATTTTAATGTTGGTTGCGGTCCACAGCGTGTTCAGACACACACGTGATTTACGAAAGGCACGCTGGCGAGCGCGGCCGCCAGCACACACCGAAGTTGCATGGAGTGCCTTTGAATCCGGGCCAAGTGCTCCTGGCTTGTTCATTTTGAGTGGCAATTTATTGGGAGTAGGCGGCTTTATGATTGTGTGCCGAGCTAAGGACACCTGGGTGCATACCCATGGCTTGGTCTGTCAAGCATCTTAGATATGCCCCTGTTGAGGGTGGATGAATTATCTGCGGCAAAGGGGATAAGCGTGCTCACTAAGCACAATTGCTTTAGTGGTATTTTGTGGTGTTATTTTGCTTGTCAATTCTGGTTCGTGTTGAATCCTAGTTCTGATTCTTGGCATAGTATTTCAGCAATAAAAGAAACCAAAATATGTACCACCTTTTTATTTTCAGCAGACTTAGTCATTTGTCATTAAGATGATATAGTTTATGATTATTCACAGGGTGTATGCCGCCGTCGTGGTTCCCCCCAAAGAAAAAAAAAAACAGTGCTAGTTTCTTCCTGTGTGTTCTGCACACACAAAATGTGACAATTTAAATTCTATAAGCTAATTAGGTATTGCCTACTTGTATTAGGTTGTTTGGCGATACCTCCTGAACGTCTACCCCGATGGACTGAGTGGACAGGAAAGAATGGACTACATGAAGAGGAAGACAAGGGAGTATGACCAGCTGAAGAGAGAGTGGACGGCCCAGGTCAGCAACGAGGACCTTGAATTTATACGTGGGAATGTTCTTAAAGACGTCCTCAGGACAGACCGGGCTCATCCATACTATGCAGGCTCAGAAGACAGTCCACATTTGACTGCCCTCACAGACCTGCTCACCACATTTGCTGTCACTCATCCACAGGTGTGTTGAGCTCTTCAATCAGTTGGCTTATACCTGTGTTGGAGTTTGATGGCAATTTATCTAATCCATCTCTGCTAATTGAATCATGCTTTAAATCTGTTAATGCAGAGGTTTTCAAACTGTCAGGAAAGGGGAGTCGCAGAGGGAGAGAAGTGAGGCAAACAGTTTGTAAAGTCTTGGACACACCACATGACTTTCAAAGTCATCAGATCATCAGATCTCTGTACTGTTCACACCACACAACCTTCTGTCTTGTAATTTGAAGTTGTGGTTTACACACTATGTTACTGATCAGCAACAAAATCAGGGCTAAAACCATGTAGAGCATAGGTATAGTGGTAATAGACATTTTTAAGCAGAAATGTTACAGATTATGACTTTAAGCATAACCGAAAATATACCTGTCTTACACCGTGTCACATAGGCTGCCTGAAAAGCGCGAGGTGTCTATGGCGTGTGACTGTTACGCCTGGCATGCTCACAGTGTTCACACATTGAAAAGGAAGTTTTAAACTGTACTGAATATATGTGTGTGAGAGTGTGCGCGATTAGTACAAGCAAGTACTGAGATAGAATGTTATCCCAGTGTACCCCTAAAGTAATAAGCAAAAACAACAAAAATGGCAGTAATAATGAATACTGCCTTGTTGAGTTACCCTAAAATCACCGTAAGTGAAATTCCTTTACCGTGACAACCCGCATTGAGAGTGGGTTTCTATATCTGTTATTTTAGAATTGGTTTGCCCAATGATTATAACTGTGTACCACAAGGGGTTTGTTGGTTGGTTGTACGCACATTCTCAGGCGAAAAGAGAAAATGGTTAAATCAGATTCTATGCTTCGAAATTAGTGTATACGTGTTAAATGAGACCCCTGGTTAACCGCTGAATTAAACCCAATTCATAAAAGTATGCTTATATTTCTACATGATTCAGAATTCAGCTTTTCTCTGTAAACTGCAGACTGTAACTTTGTGTGGGTGTGTTGTTTTTCAGATATCCTACTGTCAAGGCATGAGTGACATCGCCTCACCTATACTTGCGGTAATGGACAATGAGGCACATGCCTTCATTTGCTTTTGTGGCATTATGAAACGGCTGGAGGGTAACTTCCGGCCAGATGGGCAGCTCATGTCTATTAAGTTCCAGCATCTTAAGCTGCTTCTGCAGTACTCGGATCCTGAATTTTACTCTTACCTGGTGTCCCGAGGAGCTGATGACCTCTTCTTCTGTTACCGCTGGCTGCTTCTGGAACTCAAGCGAGAGTTTGCGTTTGACGATGCTTTGAGGATGCTCGAGGTTACCTGGAGCTCCCTGCCCCCGGATCCTCCTGAAACCGAGGTGGAGCTCCTGGGGCCACCACTGGAGACAGATGAAACAATGTCCTGCAAGGACAAGACAGTTGAGAATTGCCACAGAGATGATAAGGAACAAAAAGAAAAGCAGCGTAGACGACATATGCTGAGGCCTTCAAGAGAAGAATTAGTTGTGAGCAGGAATGCTGTCATAGAACAAAAAGATGTAAGTGCTGGAAAGGGAAGCGAGGGCACGGGATGTGATATTCTTCAAGTGACCATGGAAAAGGCAGATTTGCAGGCTCCTCCTTTAGAGAGGCAAACTAGTTTCGGAGAATTTAAATACTATACTGCCCGAAATAAAGATAGCTTTGAAATGGAGGATGCTGAACAGCCACAGGGCTTGGTGGCTTTAAAATCAGTAACAAGTATCCCAAGGCGCCAGTCCACAGTTGACAGTGAGGAGGACCCAGGCGAGAGAACACCTCTCATAAAAAACTGTGACAATGCTTTCTCTCCAATGTCATCATCTCCTCTCTTTCCTATTGGCCTACCAATCTGGAAAACTGGCCATTGTGTCTCTCCTACATCTTCATTGTCACCCTCCAGCTGGCCAGGTGCTTCTCCAGACTCTCCTCCAAAAACCTCTTCTCCATCCCCATCCACAACCAATGGAAGAGATGCCTTTCCAAGAACAATCTCAAAAGCACTGACCTCATCTGCCCAAGTGCTCAGCAGTACAGGAATTAACTCGCCCACAACCCCCACCATAAAGACATCTGTTGCATCTCCCTCCCACAATCGACCCCTATTATCTTCACCCATTTTGTTTGGAAGAGGCCCCTCACTGTCTGGCAGCCGGTCATATTCCAGCAATCTTCCTTCACCTGGCAACAAATCTCCCAGCACCACAGCTAACACGCCCAGTTCTTCAAAAGCTGAGACCACCAGCATCAAACCATGTTCCCTGCCGCCTCCCCAAGAGTTCGGCAAAGGAAATCCCTTCATGCTGTTCCTGTGTCTATCCATCCTGTTGGAGCACCGAGACCACATTATCAAGAACAGTTTGGATTACAATGAGCTAGCCATGCACTTTGACCGCCTTGTGCGGCGCCACAACCTGAGCAGGGTGCTGCAGCGAGCAAAGGCCTTATTTGCAGACTACTTGCAGAGTGAAGTGTGGGACTCGGAAGAAGGGGATGAGGTTAGCTCAGACTCCCCAACAGCAGCCACTGCTGCTCAACACTCCCCTTCTTCTACCATCTCTGCTAGGCCCATTTTCAGCCCTTTAGCATCACCTCGGTCGTCATCTCCAAACTCGACCTATAACTTCGCAACCACTATTCCCTCCCCAACTGCTCAAGTTTCTGTTTCTCCCACTTCCTGATAATGCCATGCATCACTTACTTCCCATCCTCAGTGAAGTCCTCAGTAGACTGTTTGTGGCCCATTGGAGCTGTCAATCTTTTTTTAGACAGCCTCCCACATTTACTTGGGCTATTAATAATATTCTCATTCTGTGTATGCCTGAATACATATATTCCTTATGTCTGTAGTCATTGTAATATTATAACATCGACCTTTCAAGTTGTTTGTCTGTTCTTCAAGCGGGGATGAAAAAATTGTATCCTCACATCCTGTGTTATCGATCGTTGCTGTTGCGCAAAATGATCAACCCTGTAATTCAGACAGTTTGGCGGACTGAGTTTTGCCAGGACCAGCAAAAGTTAAGCCACTTTGTGCATTTAGCCTGTGTTGCCCCCTTAATTAACTATGTTTATAGCTCATGTTATGTCCAGAAGCAACACAAGTGTCTTAACTAAAGCAGCCAGTAGTTAAAACATGAGGACAAATCCAGACTCTCAAGCAGAACATAAACTGACTTGTAAGTCATGTAATGTATGTCATCAGTCAGTCTAACAAAATTAACTAAAATAAACAGCACTTACAAACAAGATAAAGCCAGCACACCTTCCTGACCTAACCTGTCACCAATAACCTTAAGGGGTAAATTGACCATAAATTTACATACTGTAAACAAATTGCTCCAAAAAATATTAGTTTTCAGACAGAACCCAATGTGTATTTTAGAGGCACAGCTGCATACAAATTCAATCAGCAGATGCAAGAGGCAGTCCCTTTTAAGAATTCACAGCCTTTTTGGAGGGGAAAAATACATGCTTATCCTGGAGCTTTATGAATCAAGTACAGAGACGAGAGGTAAACTGCAGTGAAATAACTATAAGATTAGTCAGAGCATGAGCTGTACACAGTCTGTGTTTATGTTGCTGGTGACCTACAATTAAAATCTGTAACATCACTGGCCTTTTGGCGCAAATAAATGCAGTATAATTCGCACTAACAACACATGTGAAAAAGGTGAAAATTTGCTTTGCCTTCTGTCTGAACAGACTTTAAACCCCCGAATACGTCAGCATTTAAAAGAATGAAATTTTAGACAAAAATCATCATTTCAGTGAAACAGTGGTCAGTGGATTATCTGTGCAGAGCTTTTGCGTAGATTTCATCTTTGACACACATTCGCACTGTTGACCAATTAAGACTGTATTGACAGTGCTGACCTTTTTGGGAACAGTCCAAAACAGAAGAAGCTGTCATATAAGTTGGCTGACCATCCAGTGTTGTACCATGCTCTGCCAAAGTAGAAGCTGCTCCACAAAAGACATTCAGCATGATCAGTCATTGCTTTAAATAAGTGTATTAACGAATTTCAGGAGACAGAAATGAATTTCGCATTTTCTGGTGTGACTGGCCAATAAAGCTTGAAGCATTCAAGCATTTTGCTCTTCTAGCGATATCCTAGCCCCATTTGTGACCTCAGCACTCTGTGATTCAGACCCAAGCATTCCCTACACAAATTTTATGGGGAAATCAATGGTGTTTTTTTCGTCAGCTGTCCAGCAGCAAATGGCATATTCAATGGTATATTTGTAATATCAAAGACTCAAAATTCAGCATTAAAATCCAGTATTGCCAGAGCGCCAGGCAACGCTTCACTTTCTGTCTGAACACAATTTGAGAATATAACCCTGATGATGTCCTCTGTCTTATCTCAGCCTAAAGATGTTTTGTACAAGTGTTGTTGGTTGGATTTTACCTTTAACTCTTCCCAAGTGCTGTTGTATCTGATCTTGGTGGCATAGTAGTATACCCTGAGAGATGGGTCTAAATGCAAAAATGTTGCTGTGGCCCATACATTCCACCACTTGAAGATTCATAGCATTTATGTTTTTGCTGTAAATGAGACAAAATGAATTCATGTTGCCATGAGATTGATAATCTTACAATTTCTGCCGTCAGTAAAACAAACTTTAAAAAAGTTTTAATGTTGCTTAAAAGGCTTCTGTAAAAAAGCTTATATGACATGATTTAGATTTTTTACCCAGTGATTTTAAGTTAGGATAGGTGGGACGTGTGACAGAAGTTTTAAGCTATATTCAAACGTGCAACATCAGAAATTTTGGGTTAGTGCAAAGATTATGTATCAGTGACATTTACAGTTAGCTAATTAATTCTAACACAGTCACAGATACAGTATACGTTTTTGTTTTGTTGGTTTTTACAACTTTGAATGTGTCTCAGCCAATCACAGCTGAGGACTTCTAATACCAGTTTTCTAAAGTCTGACAGCTGCAACAGGTGAGTCTATTTATGTGTCAAGTTATTCATGAAAAAACCTCTTAAAGGAGTGCACAATTTGGATTGTTTTTCAGCCGATATGATAACTCATAGTTACCTACTTTTCATTGCCTCATCAAGAAATTGTAGTTTATGCACATCTGAGGGTGAGCCAGGTTTAGATGTAGTGAGTAGAGTTTGATGACATTCCATAGTTTTGTGGATCCAAATCTGACATCACTGCTGTTAACACAAAAACAAACAGTTCTGAGTCTTCAAATGTAAATTTATTTTTTCCACTCAAGTACATGGAAGAACAAACATTCTTTTGCTTTCATAGACCATAAAGCTTATCGATCAAACTGAGAAACCACAAGGAGTTCGCGAAGAAAAATATATCCTCTGAATCACGTCCAATATGTTGTCATTTTCTGTATGTACTTTTCTCTGGTTTCTCATTTTTCCCTTGCTGCCCACTGTCCTGAATTTCATGGACTCAGAATCAAGTGACTGCAAACAACCTATTATTATAATTCCATTATTATTGTTATTGTAATAATTCCAATTAATTTTTCGGTCTAACTTCTTAAACCTGATAATTGCTACATAGCAAGTTACAATAGGACAATGCAGCTTGTCATTTCTGTATCAGTGACATCACAGGTAATAGTGAAATCTTCTCATATAACAATTTTACGCATAAGAAGATGATGTAGATTGGTGATGACATACTGTATGTGGTGGACTCATACATTCAAATTACAACAGTTGTCAAGTAAGTACTGTACATCTTAGTCTTTATGCCTTTGTGTGATTGGTGATGAGAAGGTAGTAACTGGCTGTATAATCAATATCTTTATTGTTATGTTGAACATAAAGTTGAATATGATGTGATGTCACATAGGATGTCCAACGTTTTGGCAGAGAAGTGCCTCACTTGTTTGAATCAATAGACTTGATTTGTATTTATTTTCTTTTGTGCTCTTAATATCTGTCTATATTGTGTCATTGTATGGGCTAATTTAAAAGCCAGTTATAGGTTTATAGGTTATATCTGAGTGATATTTAAATGATAGAGTTGGGCCTAAAGATGTATTGTTAACATGTAAATGGTAAATGGTACCTGTACTTGTATAGC